AGCTGTTCCCATGTTTATTCAGTACACGGCGATAAGTTTGGATTGAGAATTTATCGTGATAAACCACATGACGTCTCCTCCTCTTTATCCTCCTCTCTCTTCTTCCCTTCCCCTTTTCTCCTCCTCAACTATGCTTATTCTTCAGTTCTCTTTGCTGTTTGGGACATACATAGTGTGAGCTAGAATGTATAGGATTTCTATAATCATGATATTTGATGATATTACATAAGACACATAAGGATCTAAGCAACGTCCTTCATGCCAAGGTCTCAGGAGTCCTGGGATCCATCTGAAGACTTTGTGGGGCTAGCGGTTGCTTTTCATGTAGTGTGAGTTGTGGCGATAAGAGCTTGTGTGTGGTTGCTGACTTGAGAGGAAATTATGGAAGCCTGTAAGTGAAGGGAAGTTTAACCAAAAAGAAACTTCATAAAAGCATACAGCTTTATTGGGCTTGAGACATCACTTTTAGTTAGTTCATGTCGCTATATACCATAGGTCATTAAAGTTTCCCAAGATTGTGCAAGACGGACCAATCTATTGTGTTCACTTTATTACTATCTCCAAGCCTTCAAAGAGGCTGGAGCTAGTAAGAAAGGGTCATTTAAAGCTTTAGAATCAAAAGGTTCTGCCAAAACAAAGAGCCTTGCTAAAAAGAGACAAAATTGCAACTGTTGATCACACATACCCATTACCCAGTGTGATCACAGAATGTTTCAAAAATTTATTTTTATGTTAGTTTTTTTCTCATCAAAAGTTTTCAATATTGTTTTTATGCAACTTGGTTTTTCCTGAAATTTTGCATATTACAATGGAATTTGATAAGAAGCTTGGCTTTGCTTATTCAATAAAATAGGACAAATACACCAGGACTCCACAGCAAAGGTACCATTTCTACCACAAGGAGTGGAACAAAATCAGGAGACCCTACATTTCTATGATATATATATATAACTACCCACATGTCTAGCCCAAAACTATGCTGTTAATCAAATAGGTTTGTGTATTTAGTTAACTGGAAACTTTTCAATAGTTTTCAATAGATCGATGCATCCTTTTGGTTGGGAAACTAATACTATTGTTTTCCCAGCCTTTCTCCAGGTTGAGAAAACGAATCAACCAGACTGAGAGGTTATGAAATAAAGTACTTCAGTTTCGAAAAACCATTTCACAAGATCACCCTTTGATTTATTCTTTGTTTTTTGATATTGAAACTATAGAGCTCAACTGAAAATTACAATGATGGCAGTCATGTAAGAAGAATGCCTGTTTTTGCAGTAAAAATGATCCTAAGGAAGAATAAGAACATTTAGCTATGTGATTTGAACAAATGTATGTTAAAATAAATATAGAGTACGCCATTGGGAATAAGAGAGCGGCCGCGGCAGCCTGGTACCCATATCTATGCCCAGATTACCTAAATACTGTGTATGTTGTAGTCACTGCCAATTATTCCTAAGTCATAGAATAATAATTATAGCCCGCTCTTTGGTTGCTGAAGCTATATTATGTTTTCCACCTTTAAGCATGAAATAGATATTGTAAATATGCATGAAGTTTTGCTCTAATGGAAACAATGCGAATTTTGAAATTGGGATATCATAAAAGCAAGCATCGCTTTCCCTGAAAAAAAAAATATACAAGAAATTATAGGCCCAATCTTTTTTCTTCACATGTAGCTGAGCTAATAATTCTGCTTTAAAATAAATAAAAATCTATTTCAGTTGTTATTATCCTAGCATAGTTCTTAGTAGAAAAGATTACTGATGCTAGAATATTCATATGTAAAGCAAGTGTGTCTTTTAAAGAGGCGTTTACTTACGAGGCCTTTATTCACAAGACTGGCTGAGGAAGCTCCTTGCCTCCTCCAGCTGAAGTCATTTTAACTCAAGGAGAGCAGCAAGGACACCATTCCTACATTTAAAGTACTTTCCACAGATGGAGGACGACAAGATCTACATACTGGGGAAAACTGAAAACACCCTTTGTGTTACAGGTGAATACACAGGCAAAGTGATTTAAAGTCACAGAGGGAACACTGACAGGGTGGAACTTGGAAATCCAGCAAGAGGTGATTAGCTCATTAGCTTTCCAACGGTGTGGAATTTCACCTGGGGGGAAATTCAGAGCACTTTGTGAGAAATCTCCTCAGAAATCTAAACTCCTTGGCCTTCTTAAAACATTTAAATAATTTTAAAATGCATTCCAATTTTAGGAAGTGCAGCATTATCTCAAATAGCAAAACTTCCTGCAAGAAAGTTACCCTGATAAGAGAGTACCCAGAAGGCAGAAAGGCTGGGCCCCTTTGACTCCACAGTGGGAGTGGGAGGGAGGGTTCTGACTGGGCCTGGGCCCTCAGAGTTGAAGGCGGAGGGTAGAAAACACCTCAGCACTTGCGTGGGTCCTGGCAGTTTGTCTTGGGAGAGGTAGAAGTGGCTCCAAGGTGACATGAAGGTCAGAGACACAGGAGGCAGGGTGGGCTCAAAGTGGTACCCATCCTAGTTGGGCTCGTTGTCAGGAATGCCGTGTCTGCAGATGAGGGAGACATTGGCCACTCCTCCTCATTCACGGGGGCAAGTCCCTGCCTGTTCACAAGCCCTCTTCTTTTTGACTATGATGTCCACTGGAGGGCTTTGACATAAGATTGGTGACCAAGGAAGGCCTCCTGCCACCCAGAGGTAACCCGGGCCTCGCTTCTGAGGCTCTCGTGGCGGTTGGCAAGAGAGAGCAGTGTGAGCACTGACGCTGGAAAGTGAGGGGGGCCTGATCAGAAGGGCCGTGGGCATCGTGCTGAGGAGCCTCCCCTTTGCTTGGACACAACGGGGACCCACAGGAGCAGGGTGCCATCGGAGGTGAACTGAAGTCCCACCAGATGTAAAATCCTTCTGTGAGAGGGATAATAATTCCTACCTGTGGAATGGCTTAATTACTAAAATAGGCCAACGGAGAACTGGAAACATCACCCACCTCGTATGTCCCTGAATAAAGTAAAGGGGGTTCCTTTCCTTCTCCTGCGAGAGATGTGCCCTTGGGTGGGCAAAGACAGAGATCCAGGGCTGAGGGAACCTGTGTGGTTCAGAAAGGATGGGGGGCCATCCCGTGGGTGGAGAGATAGGACGCGGGCACATGCGGTCACAAAGGCTTTATCCGGCTGGACCGCCTCGAAGGCAGCCTCGAAAGTGCCCATCTGTGCATTCCAGATGCCAGCCTTGCCTGGCCTTCCCTCTGTTCTGAGACTCCGCGAATGGCCATGGGCCCTGGAGATCACAGGGGCTCTGCGCTGGCTTGGGACTGACTGAGCAGAGGATGGCTTTGAGGAGAAAAGGCCAGGACAAGACAGAGACCCTGAAGATCTTGCAAAGGCCAGTGATGTTAAGAGCCCGGACCTGAATGGCGGCTGAGGAGATGGACAGGGGCTACTCTGACCGGATTTGGGACACTGATGGCCTGTGAGGACTGAGCCAAGAAGGCCTCTGAGGCTTCCAACCCAGGCAACTGGGCTTTGAGCTGAAGAGCAAGCCTTGAAAGAGGATATTGAACATGGCTTAGAAGCAATTTATTCATCAGAGAGGAGTTTTAACTCTGGAATAACCAAAATAATCCATCTATATGACAAAAGTATATATATCAAAGAACACTTTGAAATGCAATTAAACATGTTTATTGAAATAAACTGTGAGTCATACAGATTGTTTTCCATGTGATAGAGATGTCATACATTTCTCCTAGTAATAGATAATAGCCAGATTAAACATAACAGTAGAAGAATCTAGAATCTTATTACTAAGAGTCTCCCTAGAGATCAGCAAACCCAACCCTTGAACAGATGAGGCAACTAATGACCGGAGAGACTGGCATTCTCCACTCTACAAATGTTTAGGGCACTGAGCATGTGCCAGGCACTTACTTGGCGCTGGGCATATAGAAGTAAACAGAGCATGGTACCCGTACTCAAATTGCTCATAGCCAGGCTCTTGGGCGACAGCGTCCAGTAAGCAGGAAATTAGCACACAGCCTAATAAGTGCATGCTCAAGCTACAGAGTGCACCCAAGCCGGGCCTGGGAGCAGCTCTCTGGGGTCAGCTCAAGTGTGAGCTGACCTGAGAAAGATGAGCAGAAGTCACATAGACAAAGAGGTTGCGAAACTGCCCCAGGAAGGCTCGGGTGAGGGAAAGCATAGTGCATTTAGTTCATCAAAGGCATTCAAGTACAGAGGAATTCCAGTCCTGGATTCTGAAGACAATAGTCTCCTGACTCCCAGTGCAATGCTATTTTTAGAATACTATCTGTCTTTCTAGGTCTCCTGACAAATATGTGATGATTCAGCACATATAGTAATAGTCTTGCATAGAGAAAAGGACGCATACATGGCTTATGCTTACCCAGGTAGAGACATGAAGTTGTCCAAACCCTCTTGTTTAAAATGTCTCTTTGAGGGATAATTACTTTGTATTGGAGCCTTTCATTTCCTCCCAAAATTTCCATCAACCCGGTCATGCCATAAAGCTCTTAAGTCTGGAAGGGATTTTAAGGAATCACTTTGTCAGTGGCCAAGGGAGGCTTCGCCCCCCTGGTGCAGGCAATATTGGGGCCATCATCCATAGAGAACATAAAACTTTATCATAAAACGGACCAAAACCGTTCTGCATGTTATTATCACTACGTGGCAGCAATCCAGCAATTCTCGGTCACGTCAGTAACAAAACCCTCCTCCCTGCCAAGGTAAGCCGCTCCTGCCGCCCCTCGCCCACGTCTGCCCCTGCGCCCAGATCCACCTGCACGCGCGGAAGACACAGCTCCCGACACAGGCTGAACAAATGCTCTGCCCTTTTGTAAACATAGCTTGAGGAGTCAAAAATCATATATACAAAGAACCCCAGATCGGTGCTTATCTTCCTACAATTTGGACATTTCTCTCCAGGGAAGGTTCTCGCCTCTGAAAAGCCTCGAATCCCTTTCGAGCTGGGGATGACATCCAACGCCCGGCTTTGGCACTCACAGGCTTACCAGGAGCAGTCCTCGCTCATCCTCTCTGGCTGGGCCGCCTGGCAGGTGCTCGGTGGGATGAACACCGAGGGGTCTTTAATGCCCAGCTGTATGTCGAAAAACCGGGTGGACAATATCACACTGTAATTTTTGGTGAAGGTTTCCTGGACAGGATAACAATCCTTGACAGTATAAATGCCGATCCAGGTTTCATCTGTCAGAGGAAGGGAAGTTGACTTTTTAACGTAGAAGGTAGGCAAAATGCCTGTATTTTTTTCTCTTGTGGTAAAATGTACATAAAATTCACCCTTCTAACTATTTTTAAGGACAGTTCAGTGGCATTAAGTGTGTTCACATGAAACCATCGCCACCATCCCTGTCCAGAACCTTGTCATCTTCCCCAGGGGAAACTCCGTGCCCTCTAACACTCATTCCCCATCCCCCCTCCCCCAGGCCCTGGCCACCCCCATCCACTTTCTGTCTCCATGACCGGGACTACTCTAGGGACCTCAGACGAGTGGAATTATATAGTATTTGTCCTTTAGTGACTGGCTTATTTCACTCAGCGTCATGTCCTCAAGGTTCAGCCAATATTATCCGTGGCTGAATAATATTCCATTGTTTATTTACACCACATTTGGGGTATTCATTTATCTGCTGATGGACACTTGGGTTGTTTCTGCCATCTGGCTATTATGATTAATGCTGCTATGAACATGGGTGCACACATATCTTTTTGAGTCCTTGCTTCCAATTCTTTTGAGTATACACCCAGAAGTGGAATTGCTAGGTCATATGATAATTCTATGCTAAACTTGGGGAGGGGGGATTGTTTTTACACTGTTTTGTACTATTTCCCACATACACCATAAAGCCTGTGTTTTTGAAACCGTTTTGGGGTAGGCGTACGAAGGGTTGCAGAGAAGAGCTTCCCATCTACATACAAAAGCAGACACCGGGTACAATGGGAGTAGATCTGGTCTCTGTGACTTTGGGAAGTGATATGAGGATTCTAAAGTAGACCTCAGACAGATGTCTTCCATGTCACAGATCTCAAGACTATTCAATGTCAGAGCCAAGGACAAGCCCGTAACAGCCAATGGCAGAAAGGTACAGGGGGTGCTAGAAGGCTGAGGTGTTTCAAACATGATGCTTAGATTCTGGAACTAAACAACCAGTGGGGGGTGGGGGGGGGGAGAGGGACTTCAAAGCAGGTGCAGGGGACGTTAAACAATTTGCTTAAGGTTATAAATTGCCCTAACTACCCTTCCTTAATGGACTTAAACTTTTACCCCATCATACTTCCCGAGATGCAGCACTTAGCTATTTTATGACGCCTTACACGATCTAGCTGACTTTCTGTCGGACCACTCTTGGACAGTGATCTGCTCCTGGGGCCCCCCTATGGAGTACTGGTCCTCAAACGTGGCGTTTTGAGGAATGTCTAGAGGGTCCCAGGGCTCCGTCAGGGTGATCTTGGAGCACTGCTTGGTGGCTTGTTCAATCTGAAACATCACTCCATCCTTATACAGCAAAATATATTCAAATAATCTGAAAGACAGATATAAAGAGAATGGATCAGGACTTCATGTTACAGTCATCGTGCCTCTTATCAGCATACAGTCCAAAGGCCTTCGATACAAAATACTCTTAGAACAAGTAGACAAAAATAGTTTTGCTTACGAGGCAATCACTTATTTATGAGCACTTGACACACTGACAACCTAAATACGAAATCATTAAAATTAGAGTTCAAAATTGATATTGAATCATTGAGTACCTATTATATGCCGGATCCTGTGCTTAGGCTACAAACAGGAGGAAGACAGGGCCCTGGTTTGTGACTTTTTAGCCACAAGGACCTAGGAGGATTTGACCCTTGGTTTGGCTGAGTTCTCCTTGCAGCACTAAATCAGGACTCACTGGGCTACACTGAATGTAGCACATCCGGAAGCCGCCGAGGTCAGACCACACACCTGTGCCCCATTGTCTTGGCTCTCAGTCACAAGTAATGGGCTTCAGTAAGGCACAGCTGCGTGAGAATGAGCCCCCCCCCCACAGTACCCGGAGGAGGCTGAGATGCAGACGAAAGTTGAGGGGACCCCAGAGCAACCGGTTTCCCACACAGTTTGTCCTCACTTCTCCAGGCCACGTGTACAGCCCATGTGTGGAGCGAGCCAGACGGACTTCCAGGCTGGGCGGGGAGTCTGCAGATGCCCCCACCATCGCCCTGCACGCCGCCTTGTCCCCAGTCCTGTGCGGATCCTAAAGCTAAGCAATCTTGGTGTTGGGGGAAGCCACCAGGTTGGGCTTCCCTGTGTTTGTCAATCCAAAACAGGCCACAGCTGCTGGTCTTGCAGAGTGAGGACACGGTTCTGACCTCACCCAGTGAAATTCACAACCCTTGAGGGCAAAAGAGCTGAGGGGGGAGCTTTTCCTGAGCAAATAATGTGAGAGTCATTCCACCCCACAGCCTCCATCTGCCTCCAGGGCAAATGTTCGCCATCCCAAGTCCGAGCTTAAAAAGTATTTTCTTTAGAAGAACTATTATAAACGATCCTACATGGTCAAAATAGTACCACTATTAGGGTTGCGCTTCCTTTTTCTACGAGTTGGTATGGAAATGTAAACATGACCTCATTTTATATATTCAGATATATCTGTTTTGCTTCATTCCAGCAAACACTTGAAATGGCTTACGAGGGTCAATGCCTTTTAGAAGTGGGAGTGATTGCAAACAGAAAAGGCAGTGTTCATTTGCTGCGATATCGCTCACATGAAAGTGGAGCCAACCTCTTATAAAAATACGCATGCAGGGTTCCCACTGTACTGTGAGCCCTTTGCAGGGGCTGAGGTTGGGCTGTCACTATTGTCTCGTGCCCGGTGAGGTCCCTGGCACATCAGTCTAAACATTCATGTATGGAGTAGAGACACATTACTCTCAGTGTTGGAGGACCATGCATTGATAAATACGGGACTCTGTACACAAATCCTGTTCCACAAGCTTTTCAGGGGCGGCAGGACCCACAAAACACCTGCACCGTGTGCCCTTGGGGGGTTCTCTTCCTTATTCTCCTCGCCATCAGCACCATCCTCCCGTGCCTTCCCAAGTCCAGGTTGTCTAGCCTAGACAGTCATTCGTCACTCCTGCAGAAACGCCAGCGGTGTGCTTCTCACACCACAGCGACTGTCCCCTGGAAGTTATGCACCATGGGCAGCAGAGGTGGGGGTGGGGGGCTCCTTCCTGAGGACAGCCCTCAGCCCCTGAATCCGCAGGTCATAGAAGCAGGATGGCCAGGGTGGCCATCCAGGAGCTGGCCATCCAGGAGCTGGCCACCATCAGCAGAGCTTACTGGACCAGAGGAGGACATCTGACCCAGGGCGAGACTATCAGATGCCCTTCCACGAACCTGGGGGATTGCCACCTGAGGACTGCAAGGCAGTCTCTCTATGTGGCTGGACATGTCCCCTGTATACTTAGAGGCCATGGGAGGCTGTTTCCAACATGTGAACTGAGCAAGAGTAAAGAAGGAAGCCGGGAGCATTGGCAAGCTGGGACTCCCGACAGCAGTGCGTTTGCTGGACGCATTTCTTCTCTGAGGCTCAGGGTCTGGAGATCCCCCTGCAGAGTTATGATGTTTCCTTTGTTGTAATACACTTTCCTTTCTTCCACCTGGAACTTTTTGTGTGACTCAGAACCAGGGCTCATTTCTAATATAGTGGAGGACTCCCGCTGTTCCACCTAGAGCCCCAGAGGACAACCACCAGCACAGCTGTCCTGGGAGAGACACCACGTGGCCCTGCACGGATGCCAGGGCCACGGCCACCTGGTCAGCCCCCAGTTGGGGAGGGGGGGGCGGCAGGAGAGGAAGGCCGCCAACGTTACTACTGTCCCGGGGCCAGCCCTGCCCATGCACAGAGGGAAAATTTAATTTCCAAATAAGAATGCTAGACTTGAAAGAATCATCACAAACTATTAACATTTACCCATTCTGGGTGGTCTGAACACAGGTGTTTGTTACAGCGTTCTCAGTACTTTGCTGTTTTCAAAATATTTAATTTTTTCACAAGAGGCCATCATCTGATATTGAGGTTATGTTGACAGTGCCTTAAGTAAAACAGAAAATATTCGTTTAATGGGAAACCAAATACAACCGTATAACTGTTTGGTTGTTTTTTAAAATCCCATATGGATATCAATGCTAGCCCCACTCCGTACTGAGTTTTGGAACAGAAGCTTTTGATGATGCTGTTGCGGCTTGGGTACTGAGGTGAACATAATTCCTAGTTCAGAGGTAAGCTTCTCCATCGCAAAGAGGATACAGGCTCTGGAGCCTGATAGAGCCATTAGGTCAAAACGCAGAGATCAGCCAGGGTTGAAATGAATCATCCGCCTGGGATGCTGTGCGGGTAATAACCCGTAGACCTGAAGGACTGGACTGACCGTCTTCAACCGAAACTCGATCCCGGGAAGCAAGATCAAAGCCTGGCTCCCAAGTGGAGGAAGCTGGGAGGACAGGACTCACAAATCACACCCCCGGGGTGCAAGCAAGGTGAGGTGCTGGAAAGGGCCTGGAGGACAAGGCGGGCAGGTCAGGCCTGGGTCAACAACAGCCGGCAAACTCCTCCTCGCTGGCCAGACCCCAAGCAAAGCACAGTTCCTGGGAGGGCCCTGCCAGGCCTCAGCTGCGAGCAAGGTCAGGCCGGCCAGGCCCGGCCAAGTGGTCAGCAGGCTGAGCTTGCCACACCAGCCTCCATGCACAAGAGGTGTCCAGTGCCCCCATTTTGCCTCTCTCCTCGCGGGACCAAGGATTCCTGTTGCTTTTGACAAAATTCTCAGGCTGCACTGACCATTTCTGTTGTTCCCTGAAAATCCATCATCCTAAAAATTAGGCTCTCCCATCCCCATGTTTTCCCAAACACTGAAAACCTGTAGAAGTTTTATATCTTCCGGTTTTTGTAAAACTGATTCATGTTCAAAGTAAAAAAAAAAAAAAAATCCAACAGTATAGAAATGGAAAATGAAGTAAAAATTGCCCAGAAACTCGCACTTACAGAGGTAACAACTCTGTGCATCTGTGTCTAAGCATATACGGATTATTTTTATTTAATTTTCTTTAAATTGTGGCAAAATACACATAACGTAAAATTTACCATCTTAACCACGTTTAAATGTGTAGTTCAACAGTGCTAAGTAAATTTGTATTGTGCAACCAATCTCTAGAATTCTTTTCATTTTGCAAAACTGAAACTCTGTGCCCATTAAGCAACTCCCCATTTCTCCCTCCCCAGCTCCTGGCAACCACCTTTCCACTTTCTGTCCCTGTGAACTTGACTCTCTAGGTGCCTCCTCATATAAATGGGATCATACAGTAGTTGTCCTTCTGTGACTGGCTTATATCAGTCAGCATCATGTCCTCAAAGGTCATCCATGCTGTAGCATATGTCAGAATTCCCTTCCTTTGTAAGGCTAATATTCCACTGATTATATAGACCACATTTTGCTTATCCGTTCATCTGTGTATAGACCCTGGGTTGTTTCCACCTCTTGGCTATTTTGAATAAAGCTGCTATGAACATGCTGTGCAAATATCATATTGATTTTTCATTATGTGTAGTAGAAACATTTTACAAAAATGAGTATTATGTTTTCTAACCTATGTTTTAAATTCAATAATTTGTCCTTGATATCCTTCCAGGTCAAAAAATACAGATTTATGGAATCAGTTTTTCTTAATTTACTATGAAATATTTTTAAAATGCTGAAGTTAAGGGACTAGTACAATGATCATACAATGATCACCTTTGTATCTACCACTTAAATTCAATAATGTTGACATTTTTCTGTATTTGCTTTATCTATTTTCTAAATATTTGCTAAAAACAAAGACTTTCTGCCTCCCCACCACACCATTATCACACCTAAGAAATTAAAATTCATTCCCTAATGCCAGCTAATATCTGGTCCATATTCAATTGTCCCCCCAAAATGAATTTTAAAGTTTTTTTTTTTTAATCAGAATCCAGGGCGCCTAGGTGGCTCAGTCGGTTAAGCGTCTGCCTTTGGCTCAGGTCATGATCCCAGAGTTCTGGGATCGAGCCCCGCATCGGACTCCCTGCTCAGCGGGGAGTCTGCTTCTCCCCCTGCCCTCCCCCTCCCCCTGCTCATGCTCTCTCTCTGGTTCATGCTCTCTGTCAAATAAATAAATAAAATCTCTTAGAAAATAAAATCAGAATCCAATAAAGTTTCAAGCATTGTATTTGGTTGTTAGGTCTCTACTATTTTAAAAATCTGGAACACTACTCCTACCATTTTTATTTTTAACATGGCCTTATTAACTCCAGGTCTGCACAAATTCCCCATTCTAGATTTTTGTCTGTTTCCTCATTTAACTTGCTCCTCAAGCTCCTGTCATTCCTCCAAACTAGACCTGAATTCTAAAGGCTTGATTTAATTTGGTTAAAGATTTTTGGAAAGAAATTGATAAGGCTGTGTGCTTCATGGTGCATCCTAGCCAAAGACAGGTGATATCCCATCCCTGCTACTAACT